AAAAATTATTAAGAAATCCAATGAATGTTTTAGAACTGGTTTGTCAACAGTGCACATTCATTTAAATCATTGGGTTAATTTATTCAAATCGTAATACGTCATCTTGGCTATTAATGTAGTTAAGATACGGGCTGTGTAGGGAAATTGGACAAATGCATTGTCTACTCAGCAAAAAAAAATAACAATCGCAGTTTTGAGCGAGAACAAATATTCTTCGCTAGATCCGAGGTATTATAATTATATTCTTAACAAATAAATGATAATAGCTTGAAATTCTGAGACATGGTAGTGGAGCCAAAGGCATCGCCCGTTTTTTTGGTTATCGTTCAAATATTGAAATGAATTTAATCAGGTGACGTTAAAAGTGAAATAGGGTCATACACGTTTTATATATATTTTCTTGGAATGATGCAGTCAGAAGCTCTAAATTAAATGATTGCAGGTCAGATACAATGGGCAAATTATGTGTGTTTGAATTTAAAATATAATCAAAATTAATAAATAAATCTATCTACGTCATGCCATTTTGAGGAACACATCTGGCAAAAAGAATAGATTTGGAAAAAAAAAATTCTAAAAAACGCTCTTTACTACATCTGATGCTAGAAACCATTCTCTTAAAACACGGTCTTAAAACTGATGAGAATTGAAAAAAGTTTTTTTTATAAAAAAAATTGAAAGTATCTTTGGATGGGCATGAGAAATATATTTTTTCAGCTTGGCCTTAAAAATACTCTTAAAAATTCCAAAATGAAAATTGAAAATTTATCTTTAGATTCGATTATTGCTTGGTTTGAATTTGATAAAGATAATATTGTTAAAAATTCCATATCTCTACAGAGTGTGATAAAAAAACTGCAACCAACTTCAGACTGCTGTCATTTCTAAGCCACTCGTCCAACAGCTGTGAAAATTATTCCAGTGACAGCTCATTATATTGTTATCTTCTAAGAGAAGACTTTTCTTATCTGAGACGGCCTTCTAGTCTTCTTTGAAAAGTCATTCAGTTCTTTCGCTCTTATATGAGAGGACCTTCTGGCTAACTTTCAGAAAACCATCCGCTCTTCTTTAAGAAGATATAACATATGAAATCATCTTTTGGTTCTCTATGAGAAGACCTTCTGGTCCTCAATGAGTAGACCAGCTGGCCTTTTATGGGAGGTTTTTTGGTCTTCTTTCTGGTCATTAGGAGGACCTTGTAGTCTTCTTTGGGAAGACCTTCTCTTCTTCTTTGAGAAGACCTCTTCGTCTTCTGTGGGAAGATATTTTGGACTTCTTTTTGTCCTCTTCAAGAAGTATTTCTGATCTTTTATGAGAAGTCTATTTGGTCCTGTATGTGAAGACCTACTTCTATAGGAAGCCCTTCTCGTCTTCTATGAGTGGACCCTCTCATCTTCTATGAAAACACCTTTTCGTCTTCTATTAGAAGATCTTCTGGACATTTTTAGGAATATCTTTATAAAACCCTTTGGTCTTCTATGAGAACACTTTGTGGCCACCTTTGTGAAGACCATCTGGTCTTTTTTAAGAGTACCTTTTTGTCTCCTTTGAAAAGAACTTCTCGTCTACTTCAAGAAGAGCTTGCTGACTTTTTTGAGAAGCCCTTCTGGACTTCTTTTGGAAGACCGTTTGGTGGACCTCCTCGAGAAGAATTGGTCTCCTTTGTGAAGACTTTCAGCTCTTCTATAAGAGGACTTTCCGGTACTATAAGAGAGGACTTTCCTGTCTTCTATGGAAAGACTTTAAGGTCTTCTACGAGAATGCCTTCTGTTCCTCTATAAGAAAACCTTCTGTTCTGGTATTGTTTGAGGAGACTTTTTAGCCTTTTGTGAAAAGGCCATCAGATACTCTTTGAGAATTTCTTCTGTTCATCTTTAAGAAAACCTTCTGGTCTTCTTTGAGAAGGCCTTCTGCTCTTCTGTGAGAAGACTTTCTTGAGAAGACAGGAAGATCCTTTTTGAATAGATATTCTGGTTTTCTTTGTGAAGGTCTTATTGTGGAAGTGTTTCTGGCCTTGTTTGAGAAGATTGTCTAGCCTTTTTGAATACACGTCTTATGTTATTTGAAAATATCGTCTGGTCTTCTATGAGATCTTTTTTTTTTCCTTCTATGAAAAGACCTTCTGATCTATTGCGAAAAATCATCCTGTCCTCCTTTGAGAAGATCTTTTTCTTTTCTTTACGAAGGCATTTTGGTGAGAATTTTCCAAAAAAAAAAGTTATTCGTGGTGAAATTCAAGCGTGGTAGTGTAATTTCTTTATATTTGGCTGGAAAACCAAGAGTGGCTATCGTTAGAGCACTCCAGCATTTAAATGTGAATAAATCTTTTGTGTCTCGTACCATCGCTCGTTACCGTGATACTGGTAGCGTAGCCCGACGTCAAGGAAGTAAACGAAAGAAAACAGCAACATCAAAGCCATTGAAATTTCAAAAAGTGCAAGAACTTACACCGCAACAGTAAGAAAATAGACTCCGCTTGGCCAACAGTGGTGAACTGCCGAATTTGGTTTTCTCCGATGAGAAAACATGCGTTGTCCAGTTTGTAAACAAACAAAATGATCGTGTTTACTTGCCAAAGAGGTCAGCTGAAAATGTGCACCTTCGGTTGGTCATCAAAACTCAAGCGCCGGCCATGGTGATGGTGTGGGCCGCCACAACAGTCGATGGTCGCTCTCCGCTCGTATTACTCGACCACTGTCGAATGAATGCCGAATATTATAGCGAAAATATTCTGTAGGGTGTATTAAAGCCTTTAGCACGCAAACATTTTGGCCGCAGACCTTGGACATTCCAAATGACATAATTTCAGCTCAGTTGTTGGATTCTTGACTAGGATTATAGGTCTATGTGGCTTTAAAAAAATGTCAAATCCTGAATCTTTTTGGAGATAAAGCAAATCCACTATTAATATAGTTTTGAATTTGCATTCAAATAAATATAAGTTTCCCTCTCCATGCTACATTTTCAAAACACTGTTCTTGAAATGCATATAAAATTAGATATTGGCAGAAAATCCCAAATTTTTGCTTGATTCATCGTCAATTTCATCATCATCGTCATCATCATCGCGGTTGTCATTATCACAACATAAACTACAACAAAAATTTCCCAGTAATAATTTGAATAAATGAATTCTGAAAAAAATCACACACTCGCACATAATTTGAATACTTGTCTCAACTCAAAAGACTTGTTTAATTACTTTTCTCATCTCAGCCCAGCTCATGTGTGTGTGTGTGTGTTCTTTTAATGAATTGAACAATTGTATTCGCCAGCAAAGAGAGAGTACATTGTACACCATTTCTCGGTGTCAAAATGCAAATGTTTATTTTAAACGAGTATAAACAATGGAAATGTGGGGAATATTGAACATGAAGATGAATTTTAGGCAGTGCCTATAATCGTGGATCTGCTATTACTTGTTGATTAAATAAATATTGGTTTTTAAAAAAAAAATCTTGGATTTTAAAAATTTTTTTAGGCAAAACGTGGGCTTTTAAAAATATTTTTTGAAGTCATATGAAAAATATGTCATAAAAAAGAGTGGGATTTTAGGGTATTTTTCCAGGTCAGATAGAGCCATAATCGTGGTTATTGGGGTATTTTTTCGAACTATAGAGGAGCTATAATACATTTTTTTCACAATTTTTTTATCTCAGACTAGGAACTATTATTGTGAATTCTTTTGCATATACAGGGTGAGATAAAAAAAAAATGCAACAAAGTCAAACGCCATAATTTTTACATTTCGTTTTTTAAATGTCGGAAATAGCATCAAATTGCTTCAGGTTATCGACACTATGGTATTTTTTAGTGCCAGCCTTGCTTTCCAAAATACTGTAGACATAATAATCCAACCGATTGGTATCCGAAGATTTTGGTGGCCATTGTGGGCTGGAAATGAAGCGAGGAACCTCATTTTATAACCATTCTTTAATACACCCTCCAGAATATTTTCGCAATAATATTCGGCATTTATTCTGATGCCACGGTCGATTAATACGAGCGGAGAGCGACCATCGGCCGTCGACCTCTTTGGCAAGCAAATACGATCATTTGGTTTATTTACAAACTTCTGGACAACGAATATTTTCTCATCGGAGAAAACCAAATTCGGCAGTTCACCACTTTCGGCCATGCGAAGCAACTCTTTAGCTCTTTTGAGTCCATTTTCTTTCTGTTGCGGTGTAAGCTCCTGAGCTCATTTTTCAATATTTGCCGAATCGAATATTGCGATATGTTCAGCTCACGAGCCATTTTTGGGCCACTGCGACGAGGGTTTCGATCAAGTCGCTTCTTTACTTTTCGAACCATTCCTGCTGATGTTGCTGTTTTCTTCCAAGAGACCCAAAAGGTTCATTCACATTTAAATGCTGAAGTGCTCTAACGATAGCCACTTGTTTTTTTCCAGCCAAATATAAAGAAATCACACTATCACGCTTGAATTCCATCACGAATAACTTTTTTCAGGAAAACAGCTGTCGGACGAGTGGCTTCGAAATGACAGCAGTCTGAAGTTGGTTGCAGTTTTTTCATCTCCCCTGCATATGGTCGGTTCGCACGACCATAGTCTATGCTTACTTGTTTAAAAATAATTTTTGAAAATCGGAATTTTTAACATATATTTTTCTGGCTCTATGAGGGTTTATAATTGTGAAATTATATAAAAAAGTAAAAAAGAGAACAAAAATATACTTTTCAACTCCCATTGCAATACCTAACAAATCTTGAACACTTCATAAATTTTGCTGTTCTTTAAAAAAATATTTCCCCTTGGAAATGGTGTAATTCCCATAACAAAAATGTGTGAACTTGCCCATTGCGAAAAGTCGACCATTACAAAGCGCTGCATTGATAACCTTTTCCGATGGACTTGAAAGCTAAACAAACAAAATATATATTCTCGTTCTCTCAGCCCAGCTCCGTTCTCAAATCTCTGGAGAGGCTTTCAATTAAATATTGATGATGACAATGTGTGTTTTAGGTAGTTTGTTTTAAAGCTTGACATTGATTTCAGTTTATTCATTAAGACTTTCGTGTACGGTCCGGTGTTCGATGACAATTTTCCGCAAAATCGAAATGGAAATGCGTCATCTGTTGTTGATAGCCGTCTGGGCTATTTGTTTGATTGGCCTTGCACGGGCGATACCAGCGAAAAGTGCCACGGATTCGAAATCAAAGCAACCGCAGCAACAACAACAAGTGATTACCAAAGATATTGCCCGCTATGCCAAGGCCGCTGAGATCCGCAACTATATGGATGAGTCGCATGATCCATGTGGCAACTTTTACACCTTCACCTGCGGCAACTACTATCGCATCAATCCTCCCAACAAGTTGCCCTATCAAACGAACACCTTTCAAACCATTTCGAATTCGTTGAATCGGAAAGTTTCGGAATTGCTTAACAGGCCGAGGAGTACGGAATATGACACCGAGACGGATATGAAGGTGAAACGGTTCTTTGAGTCCTGCATGAAATCGAATTACACTCGGATTTGGTATCGGGCCAATATGGTGAAGATCATTGGCGAATTTGGCAAAATGCCAGCCCTGGAGGGCGACAGATGGAGGGAAGAAGATTTCGATTGGCTGAAGACGGTGGCAGAAATCGCCTATAAATATGACACGAGGATTATTTTGGGTCATTTCATTCAGGTAGATGTGGCCAATAATACGGTAAATCGTTTAAGTATCCTAATGCAGGATATACCCTTGGAATCCACATCCATCTATGTGGATGAAGTGCATCGTAGTTTTCGAGAGGCACGGGTCCATGTTATGGCGAAAAATTTGAAATTGGCATTGGCCCTGGATGATAAGCTGGCCAAGAAGACAGCTCGGGAAATATTTGATTTTGAAACCAAGTTATTTGTGGGAAATGTGGAGTCCGATGAAGAAGAAGAGGAGCAGCAGGCAAATGGAGAGGGGGGCGAGGAGGAAGAGGTTGCTGAAGAAGATGCCGAAGAAGATGATAATTCTCCGCTGCATTTAAATCTCACCACAATCGATGAAATGCAGGAGAAATATATGCCCCAATTGGACATCAAACGTCTGCTCAACATCTCCCTAGGATATGTGCCCAGCGACGAGGTCTACGATTTGATTGAGGATGATGCCGAGAACTTGATCACAACCATTCTGCAGACACCCCGGCGGATTGTGGCCAATTATATTTTCTATTATCTGATTGATCAATTCCTATTGCCGGAGCCAAAGCAAAGTGGTGACCTGGAAACCCTGTGTATCCGACGCACCAAAAATCACTTTGCCAAGGTCATGGACAACATGGTCTATCGCCAGTTCGCCAGCAATCAAACCCAACAAGATGTCCACAATATGTGGCAGACCATCAAGACGACCTTCCACAGCGTCCTCTCCTCGGACAAACTGAAATGGATGCATCCGGACACACGTAAATATGCCCTTGAAAAGCTACAAACCATTAACATGGAAATCAATACCTACGAAAATTCCAATTTCTCCGAAGAATTTGGTCCGCTGGAAATCAATCAAATCGATTATATTGGCAATAAGAAAAACATCCTTGCCTTGAGAGCCAAACAGACCAGGGCCAAGTTACATGAACGTCCCAAGCCCTATGATGATGCAGAATCCCTGTCCTTCACACCGGTTTACATTACCACAGAAAATCTCATCAAAGTCCCCGTTTCGGTGCTGCAACCCTATTTCCTTTGGTCCGATTTCTATCCCAACGCCTTGAAATTTGGCACGCTTGGCTTCCTAATGTCCCATGAGCTGATACACGGTTTCGACGAGGAGGGTCGGGCCCATGATAAGCATGGCAATAAACACGAATGGTGGGATCAGTCATCCAATGACTACTTTGCCAATCAAACGGAATGCTTCAACAAACAATACACGAAATTTGTATATGGTGGCCATAATCTTCCCGAACTGGATTCCCAATCCGAAAACATTGCCGATAATGGTGGCATACGACTGGCCTACGATGCCTATCTGCGTTGGTACGAAGATGCTGTGCGTACCTACTCCAACATGGAGGGGGAGCTGATGCCGCGGCTCAATTACACCAGCAAACAGTTATTTTTCATTAGCTACGGTCAGCTATGGTGTAGTGCCACCCATCCTGCACTGCGCAACTTTGTCTCCTCCACGGATGATCATGTGCCGGGAAAATATCGTGTCATAGGTCCATTGAAAAATCTGGAGGAATTTTCGAAGGAATTTAATTGCCCGGTGGGAAGTTATATGAATCCCAAAAAGAAATGCATTATTTATTAGACGGGGGGAGAACAAAAATGCATATTCACTAAAGAAGGTAGTCTAACCTAGGATCGAACTTTTTGTTGTTTTGAATTTATGAAAAAAAATATTTAAGTCAAAATTAATATTTGTTGTTTAATTTGTAAATAAAAATAATATTTTTTAAATAAAAAGTATTTTATTATATGAAAAATTCGTTCATCCTAAAATTATTCGACAAACATGTGGTGGCTCTTTAAATCACTCTAAGCTCTTTAAAAATTCCACAATTATAGGTATTATGGTCTTAGTATATAATTCCACCATAACTGCCCTGGTGGCCTCTGAATAAAATTATTTATAATGATAGGCCACGATGGTCCCCCATAATGTCTTTAATAAAATTCTTGAAAAAGTCCACAATTATACAGGGTGAGATAAAAAAACTGCAACAAAATCAAACGCCATAATTTTTACATTTTTTTTTAATTTTATTGAATGAAAGTAAAAAATGTCGGAAATAGCATCAAATTTTAGAATACGTTTAGATTTGTTCGAATTGGTCACCTTTGCCACAAATTATGGCCTTCAAAAGGCGGTATTTTGGCCCATTCCCAGAAAAGCGCTTGCTTGAGGTGATCGCCACTTTGGTATTTTGTATTTGCCAACCTTGCTTTCCAAAATACTTCAGACACAAAAGTCCAACGGATTGGTGGCCATTGTGAGCTGGAAATGAAACGAGGAACCTTATTTTGTAACCATTCTTGGTTGGCGCGTGCTAAGTGCGATGGTGCTGAGTGCTGTTGGAATGTCCAAGGTCTGCGGTCAAAATGTTTGCGTGCTCAAGGCTTTAATACATACCCCAGAATATTTTCACTATAATATTCGGCATTTATACTGATGCCACGGTCGATTAATATGAGCGGAGAGCGACCATCCGATGTTGTGGCGGCCCACACCATCACCATGACCGGCGCTTGAGTTGTGGTGGCCAACCGAAGGTGCATATTTTCAGCTGACCCATTTGGCAAGTAAACACGATCATTTTGTTTGTTTACAAACTGCTGGACAACAAATGCTTTCTCATCGGAGAAAACCAAATTCGCCAGTTCACCACTTTCGGCTAAGCGAAACAACTCTTTGGCTCTAGTGAGTCTATTTTCCTTCAGTTGCGTTGTAAGTTCTTGCACTTTTTGGAATTTCAATAGCTTTACGCCGAGCTCATTTTTCAATATTTTCCGAATGGAATATTGAGATATGTTAAGCCCACGAGTCATTTTTCAGCCACTGCGACGCGGGTTTCGATCAAGTTGCTTCTTTACTTTTCGAACCATTTCTGCTGACGTTTCTGTTTTCTTCCGTCCACTTCCTTGACGTCGGGCTACGCTACCAGTATCACGGCAACGAACGATGTTAAGAGACACAACAATTTATTCTCTTTTAAATGCTGGAGTGCTCTAACGATGGCCACTTGTGGTTTTCCAGCGAAATATAAAGAAATCACATTATCACGCTTGAATTCCATCACAAATGATTTTTTTCTGGAAAATTCTCACCAAAATGCTTTTGTACGCTTGTAAACAATATAATGAGATGTCACTGGAACAATTTTAACAGCTGTCGGACGAGTGGCTTAGAAATGACAGCAGTCTGAAGTTGGTTGCAGTTTTTTCATGTCTGTATGTATAGGCCTGTTGGTCCTTTACAAAATTATTTAAGAAATCAACAACTGCAATCCTGGTGGTCCCGTAGTAAAATTCCTTAAAAAACAACGATTGTAATTCCTGGTGGTCCCGTAATAAAATTCCTTAAAAAATCAAGGATTAAAGGCTTTTTGGTCCTTGAACAAGGATTCTTTTTTTAAATCCACGATGGTAAAGAAGGAACATCGTGGACTATTTCTTGATTTTCATTCAAGGACGATATTTCTTCGTTACAAAATCCACGATTAAAGGTCTGTTGGTCCAATAATATTCTTTTTAAAAATCAACGATTGTAGTGCTGGTGGTCCTTCTCTACAAAATCTACGATTAAAGGTCTGTTGGTCCTTGAATAAAATTTTTTCCAAATTTACTATTAAAGAACAGTTGTCCTTGAATAAAATTCTTTACAAAATAGACGATTAAAGGCCTGCAATTATTTAAAAATGGTGGTCCTTGAATAACATTTTTTGCAAAATCCACGAATAAAGGCCTTCTGATCCTTAAATAAAATTTTTTGAGAAATCGTCGATTATAGGCCTGGAGGTCCTCGAATAAAATTCTTTAAAAAATCCACGAATATAGGTCTGATCGTTTTCAAATAAAAATCTTGGAAATGTCCACCGTTATAGGCCTGTTTTTCATTGAATAAAACTCTTTATAAATCCACGATAAGCCTGGTGGTCCTTGGATAATTTTTTTTTTAAAAATTCCGCGATTGTACGCCTGGTTTTCCTTGAATAAATTTCTTAAAAAAAACCAAGATTATAGGCCAGATGGTTCTCGAATAAAAATTCTGAAATAATCCACGATTATAGGCCTGTTGGTCCTTAGAAAAGAAATATTTAAATAATCCCATTGGTTTCAAAATCGAGAGACTTTGTGACGATTAAAGAACAGTTAGTCCTTGAATAAAATTCTTTACAAAATCCACGATTAAAGGCCTGCAGTTCCTTGATTAAAATTCTGACAAAGTCTACAATTATAGGCCTCTTTCTCCTTGAATAAAAACTTATAAATCCACCATAAATAAGCCTGGTGATCCTTGAATAAAATTCTTTAAAGAATCAAGGCTTGTAGTTCTGGTGGTCCTTGAATAAAAATTATTTTCAAAGTACATAGGCCTTTGTTGATCCTTGAGTAAAATGCTTTAAAAAAATCACCGATTGTAGTCCTGGTGGTCCTGACCAAAAATTCCTTAAAAAATTCAGGATTGTGGACATGGTGGTCCTTGAATAAAATTACTTAAAAATGGTGGTCCTTGAATAACATTTTTTGATCCTTGAATAAAATTCTTTGAAAAATCATCGATTATAGGCCGGGTGGTCCTCCAATAAAATTCTTTAAAAAATCCACGAATATAGGTCTGATCGTTTTCGAATAAAAATCTTGAAAAAGTCCACCGTTATAGACCTGTTTTTCATTGAATAAAACTCTTTATAAATCCACGATAAGCCTGGTAGTCCTTGGATAATTTTTTTTTTAAAAATTCCGCGATTGTACGCCTGTTTTTCCTTGAATAAATTTCTTAAAAAATCCAAGACTATAGGCCAGATGGTTCTCGAATAAAAATTCTGAAATAATCCACGATTATAGGCCTGTTGGTCCTTAGAAAAGAAATATTTAAAAAATCCCATTGGTTTTGAAAATCGAGAGACTTTGTGACGATTAAAGAACAGTTAGTCCTTGAATAAAATTATTTACAAAATCCACGATTAAAGGCCTGCTGTTCCTTGATTAAAATTCTGAAAAAGTCCACAATTATAGGCCTCTTTCTCCTTGAATAAAAACTTATAAATCCACCATAAATAAGCCTGGTGATCCTTGAATAAAATTCTTTAAAAAAATCAAGGATTGTAGTTCTGGTGGTCCTTGAATAAAAATTCTTTTCAAAGTCCATAGGCCTTTGTTGATCCTTGAGTAAAATGCTTTAAAAAATAACCGATTGTAGTCCTGGTGGTCCTGACCAAAAATTCCTTAAAAAATCGAGGATTGTGGACATGGTGGTCCTTGAATAAAATTATTTAAAAATGGTGGTCCTTGAATAACATTTTTTGCAAAATCCACGACTAAAGGTCTGTTGGTCCTTGAATAAAATTCTTTGAAAAATCGTAGATTATAGGCCTGGTGGTCCTCGAATAAAATTCTTTAAAAAATTCACGAATATAGGTCTGGTGGTCCTCGAATATAGGTCTGATCGTTTTCGAATAAAAATTTTGAAAAAATCCACCATTTTAGGCATTGAATAAAACTCTTTATAAATCCACGATTGTAAGCCTGGTGTTCCTTGAAAAAATTTCTTAAAAAAAGTCCAAAGTTATAGGCCAGGTGGTCCTAGAATAAAAATTCTGAAAAAATCCGCGATTATAGGCCTGTTGGTCCTTAAAAAATGAATATTTCAAAAATCGCATTGGTTTCAAAATCGACAGACTTTGTGACGTATGAGTATTTTTTTAAGTACTATGGAGATAATGCTCATCATGTTTTGTGGTATATTTTGCACATAGTCAAATACACACAGATACATAAGTATATGCGTATATCCACAGATAAGATTAAATTGTTTTCATAATCTACAAGAATATTTCACACATTGTATTTCAAAGACTTTCCGCCTCAGGCGATTATCTCCTCTCCTCTCTTCCCGTTCCAATTGTATGGTTTGCAAGCAAATGAAAAATAGCTCATTAGCCGTTGCTTCGGCTGGCATAATTCATAAAAAAGAAATTGTAAACGGGTCGTCACTAAGTAAATGGCTAAATAAGATATGACAACAATAATCAACATATTGCTCAAGATTTTGACAGGTTGGCGAGGGAAGATCAAAGAGACCGCCAATTTTGGCACAATTCCTTTGTGTATTTTATCTGTTGCCATCAAGTATACATGCAAATATACTTTTATATTTAAATAAGGAAGGGTAGGGGACACCTGCTCTTGAAAATATAATGGATTTTCGCTATAGCCACCAAAAAAAAAAGGAAATCCAAAAAAAAATCTCTCACGAAATTCACGCAGAAAATTTTTCGCAAGCGATTGACTAATATTGGTTATTTCAAAAAGAAATTTAAAAATTTTAAATAGAAATTAACTGAAAATTGAGTCAAATACAATTGCCTAAGAAAATTTAGAATTTAGAGTGTTGGAAGTGTCATTTTCTCCGTAAAAAACCTAGAACTATGGGCTATTCGGCTCGGAAACATGGATATACTATTTCGTTTCTGTTATTTGTTTTTGTGAAAAACTCTAGTTTAGTAAAAACTCTGCGATTTTTTCGAAATTTGAAGAGGTAGGTATTTTTACCCTGACTCCGGGAAACTATTTTTTCTTTTGACCCGAATGTCCGGGTTCAAGACCGAGGCTACCCGATATAGACAATATAGGTAGAAAACCTACAACAAAGTCAAACGCCATAATTTTTAGATTTTTATACCCTCCACCATAGTATAGAGGGTACAATAAGTTTGTCATTCCGTTTTTAACACCTCGAAAAATAC